AAAAAAAAAAAAAAAAAAAAAAGAGGCAAAAAAGTTACACGTAAAATGGCCTGAGCAGCATGTATGATGCCCAAGCTGGTTTTAATTTTATGGCATGAAATGGTTTATTATCAGGATGGACATTCAAATCTTCCCCAAAACTGCTCTTACTGCTTTGAGAAGACATGGATCTGGCCTAACTTGACTAATATGACATGATATGAACTTGGCCTAACTTGACAAGCTAGCATGATGAAGAGAAATAAACATATTTTCTGTCTTTCCAAAAAATCACCAATTAAAGCCCAGTAATACTTTTGAGGTATTTCAACTTTTATGCACATGCTTAAAGCACTTAGAAATGATTCTACTTACTCTCCATCCACTTCCGGTCTTTTACATACACAAGGAAACTTGCCACCAAAATCTATATAAAGATCATTCTCCACAATGTGAAAGATTCGTCCAATGACTAGTTTATCCTTGGCAGGTCCCATCTGTGTAAGAGGAGAATGTCTCAGCATAGACGCGAAGGATTCCACATCTTTTGGAGAGCCCTAAATATGAAAAGAGATATTTATATGCATATAGTTCAATGCTAAGGTATAATATGGTAGGGACAGTAATGTCTTTTAGGGGGAATTTTTAAAAGTCAATTTGCTGTATATTTACGCTTTGTAGCAATAATAAAAATACTGAAATGGAATTCTGCTTTAAAAAGCCTGGGACGCTCTTCTTTTCCTTCCTTTCCTTCTTGAAGAGGAGCCAGGGAAAAGCAGGCATCTGTGCTTGGTGGGGGATGGCACAGATGTGGTGGCCCAGGGTGGAATCTGGAATGTGAGCGGGATAAGGAGCCCCCTTAGACAAAGCCTCAGGCCTGGGGCAAGGAGGGGGTAGGGAGGCGAGTGTGCGAGGAGGGCATCCAAAAAGGCAATTGGCTTCATTCCTAGTACTGACCATCTGCAAAAAACAAAATGCCTTCGAATACTGGTTTAATGAAAGTGACTATGCTTTAATACAAATTTAAGTGAGCATTAAGATAAAAATGATTAAGGGTCCTTTAATTAGCAGTCTGAACACAAGCTCTTGTTATGTAATATTTTCAAATGACTTGACTTTATCATTTTAATGTTGTATTTTAACATTATAATTTTCTTCTTTTTCCTAAAGTAAAATTTTAAAGCAAAGACAGCTTTAATTGTTTTGTGCTACTCGGTTTCTAGGAGTCATCTGACATACTGAATTTACTTGAGGTAGGGCTGAACATATAATGCAAGCCGATTACTTTTTTTTTTAACTTACCAAAATTTTTTCCAAACACATGCTTTTTCAGAAATCCACGAATACAGATTTGTGCCTTCTACTCATCTTTAATTTGTATGTGGTGTGGTGTGTGCGCACTTCCGTTCAAACTAAGGGAAGCTGAGTTTCTGTTTGTGAGAGCTCATCACAGAAGAATATTAACAATCTGACCTGCCTATGTATATCCTGTATCTGGAATGAATTTTACATTTGCTATTTAAGGGAGAATTACTAAGAGTTTGATAATACACTTACTTTAAAAACTACAAAACCATATTTATGACAATGTTAATGCATGGGATACTCCAAGGATTAGAAAATAATCAAATGCCCAGCCAGGAGCTTACTAAGCAGAAGAATACATGCCAAACTAAAAATATAGCCACTACTCAGCTCTAGCTGCAGTTGCAGTTCAAGTCCAGTGTTGCCACATCTTTTGATTTTCCAAGAAAAGCCAGAAATCCGTGTATTAATGTAAAATTTCCAATGTTAAGTGTTTATACATTGAAAAAAAGTCTTTCATTTTATAAATCAGAGCACATTTTGACCTATGAACCACAAGTTTACGACCTCTGCTTCAAAAAAAGAAAGTCAAATCATCTGACAGATACCAAGTCCCTTAGATGCTGGAGGGAGGATATGGTGATAGATTTGTTTCAGTGGATTGAAACCCAATGGGAAGGAATCCTTAGCACATAAGGGTTGATCTAAACCAAAGACAAGTCAGTAGACCTAGATGCCAAATAAAGCTGAAAAGGTAGCCAGGAATATTACACTTTGAGCCATAATACTAGTTTTATGATTCTACACAGTATAATATTTAATTCCTTAAACAAGCACCTTGAAAATAGTTCTCTTGCAGACAGCCAAGCGTGAAACACATCTTATAGGCTCAACACAGAAACAGCTATGAATTGTCCTCTTGATGCAAAGAGAGTAATACGAAGTACGCTGTCAGAGACAAGTGCAGCTACTATAACCCTCTGCTGGGAACCACTATACCATCCAGAGCAGCTGGGAAGAGCACTGTTCCAGGCAAGACCAGACAGGTATATCAGCTTGGGGGTCTCATTCTGCTTACAACCTGGGAAGGTCCTTCTCATTTTTCCCTATAACCTGCTTTCCCATTACTCCACTTCTGTGGTTGATATCTATTCTTCTTCATCTGTTTTTTTTTTTGGGGGGGGGATGGGGGGCAGGTAGACTTTCATTTAAAGCCATGGTGTCATTAAAACAGCAGATGAGAGGAAGATACAATAGTAGATCTAATACTTGAATACTTATTGAAGATAATTCAGCCATCAATAGGGCCTCTTCCTAAAAAACAATCTCCTTTACAACTGTGAAGGGCTGAGAATAGTATGATCGTAAATGGTATTTCCCTCTAGGTTTTAGAAAATAGAGTGTTCTTGACTATTTAATATGATCTCTTGAGATTTTTAGTAAATGTGTTGTGAAATATTTACTACATTATAAACTTTATAAAATTATGAATAATTATTTTAAAGGAGATTTTAAAATCAATTAAAACAGAATGTTACTGCTTTTTGTGTCATTATTTTTGCCTTCACTTTGTTATATTTTACAATGGAAGTCAATGTGTTTTCAGTGAGTGAAATGATTTTACCACCAAGTATAAGACACCTTGATCAATACCTAATTTGATTTTAAATTGTATGCTTGCTATACTTTTTGGAAACTATAACAAATAATTAGACAAAGCCCTCCTTCAAAAAACATGGTCTAGAATCATCTCTGAATTCCTCATTTACTTGTCAAATGGCTTCTAAAAATAATAAATGTAGCACAATCCATGATGACAACCAACACTGTAGGCTCCTCTCATGCTGTTGCAGACTGCAAAGACTCCAGGCACACTGTCACCTTCTGGGTGTATCACAGATCTCAGTGTCTAATCCTGGTTATGGAAAATGTTGCTACAAAGTTCATTCATAAAGTTGTCATAGGTAAAGCAGGTGCCTTAGGGTTGACTGCTTCCTTTAAGAATTGGTCATAAATCTCAGATTTCCTAAGTATTCCTGTTACTCTGCTGTACTGTTTTTTTCCCTTTGAAGCCTGAAAGTTGAATAGCACTGCCCAGATAGAACAGGGGAAGGTCAATGAATTACAGATATAGGGAACAGTTGCACTTTCATTCATTAGTTCATCAAATATGTGTTGAATACCGAGTGCCTGCCATGTACCCCAGACTCTGTTCTAGCCTTGATATGAAAATATATGAATCAGTTAAATGAACGTAAGAAGACATTAGGGTCCAAAAATTGCTGAAAACAATTGCTACTCTCATTCAGGTTGTAAAGAGTCCTATACCAAAGGCTAAGTGGGTTAGACATTATCCTATAAGCACTGGGAAATCAAAAGAAGTTTCTCATTAATGGGGTGACAGTACTTGTTCTTTGTTTTAAAAAAAAAAACTTTGGCAGCAGTATGCAAAATGGACCACAGAAAGGGGGGGGGAGAAATGCAAAGGGGGCAAACTGTTGAGAAGCTCTTCCAGTAACTAGGGCAGAGATGATAAAGGGTCTACACTGAAGCAGTGGCCATAGGGAAGAAGGGATACAGAGCTATTTACCAAATAGTACAGCAAAGACTTGATACCCAATTGGCTGTAGAAAGCAAGGGAAAAGGGGAGCCACTGACAAGGTGGGAGAGCAGTGCAGCAGAAGTAAGAGAGTAAGTTAGTTTCACACTTATTAGGCTTCTGATACCCATAAAATTTTAGGGAACACTGTCTATCTGGTAGGTAGTTAAAAATAATAGTGCAGATTTTTTTTTTTTTTTTGCCACACCACATGACTTGTGGGATCTCAGTTCCCCGACCAGGTATTGAACACAGGCCACAGCAGTGAAAGCACCAAATCCTAACCACTAGACCACCAGGGAATAAATTTACATATATGTTTATAGATACAAATTCCGCAAAAGAAATATATCAAATGCTAACTGTAAAAATTTACATATAGAACTTTTTTCTGTATATTATTACTATTATTATTATTATTATTTTGCAGTACACGGGCCTCTCACTGCTGTGGCCTCTCCCATTGCGGAGCACAGGCTCCGGACACACAGGCTCAGCGGCCATGGCTCACGGGCCTAGTCGCTCCGCGGCATGTGGGATCTTTCCGGACCGGGGCACGAACCCGTGTCCCCTGCATCAGCAGGCGGACTCTCAACCACTGCACCACCAGGGAAGCCCTCTTTATATTATTTATATTAGAAAATCTAGAACACAAAGAATATGTAGTAATTAAAATTTTTTAATATATAAAGCCTATGTACATATGTATGTATGTATAAAACTATCATGCAGGGACTTCCTTGGTGGCACAGTGGTTAAGAATCCACCTGCCAATGCAGGGGACACGATTCTGAGCCCTGGTTCGGGAAGATCCCACGTGCCGTGGAGCAACTAAGCCCATGTGCCACAACTACTGAACCTGCGCTCTAGAGCCCACGAGCCACAACTACTGAAGACCGCACGCCTAGAGCCCGAGCTCCACAACAAGAGAAGCCACCGAAATGAGAAGCCCGCGCACCACAACGAAGAGTAGCCCCCACTGGCCGCAACTAGAGAAAGCCCACACGCACAGCAACAAAGACCCAACACAGCCAAAAATAAGTTAATTAATTTTAAAAAAGAGAAATAAATGTAAAAAAAAACATAATGCATATGAAGACATTTAATACATAGCTTGAATCAGAGGCTACTAGCACTAAAGGAAACACAAGATATCAGCGAGTCCAGCCACCTCATTTCACAGACGATCACCATACCTGCTTCTCACATCCACATGATAGGCTCAACAGCGATTTAAATACAACTGCCTCAAAAGGTGGAAAGTAGAGAGAAACATTATTTTAAAACTTAAAAGTAAGGACATAGTACAGTAGAAATATTACATAGTAATATTACATAGTACAGAAATATTTAGGAAATCTGGGTTCTATGACCAACTCAGCCACTAAATAACTAAAAAATCTTGAGTAATAAGTCTTTTAACCTCTCTAGATCTGCCTTCTCATTTGTAAATGAAAAGATTGGATACCTACCAAGTTGAGTAGTAGGAATTCCTAAATATTCTAAAATATAAAAATGGGTTTTTAAAGTAATAAACTACTGAAAAGGGAAGACAAATCCTACCCAGTCCCTTTTTAAACATAAGCAATAACAAAAATAATGAAACGCTATATGTACTTTACTTCATATTAGTTAGCAAGAAAAACATTTCAT